GTTGTGGAAGAAGAGTGGAAGTAGGCAAAGTTTGGCCGAACCACTATAAAATCTCGTCTCGCTCTTCTCTTTACTTACTGCTTTATTTTACTGCTTGCATATCATCTCTTTCATCACTCATCTTATCCTTTTATCAAACTCGTGCAACCCTCTCTTAATAACCTTTCCGCTGTGCTTATCTTACTCAAAAGTGTTGTCAGTGTTTTTCTTTTAAAGAATCTAAAGAAAAACGAGAGTCTATTCACCCCCCCCCCCCCCCCTCTAGACTCACCACTCAATCTATTGGGACCAACAGAATTTACTCGAGATTTAAAGAGATTGGGCCAAGGCTAATTTCTAGGCTAGTATTAGTGGAAATAAATAGGAGGATTAGGTTTTCAAGGGGAAGAATTAAATCTCTAGTTAGGAAAATATTCGTAGAGGTTGGTTGAGTTTTTGGAATAAATTTCAGGGTGTCACAATTTGTGTTCTTAAGGTGCTTTGTTTGTGTGCTTAAGATGCATGGTTTGTGTACTTAAGGTGCGCCATTTTAATGCTTAATGCTTAAGGTGCGTCAACCGCACAACTGCATGGGAAGCTATACGTGCACCTGAACCCTTCCCAATATATATAGGGGCGCACTTAGGTGAGAACATGAGCCCATGAGAGAACTAAAAACCAATCGCAGCCGTCCGCGTGTCCAGATACAACGAATCATATGTAATTTTAAAAATTGACGTGGTGACATTTTTGTAAATAACTTAAACTTTAGTGCAAGTAAAAGGGTTACAAGTGCAAGTAACTGATGCAAGTTTGCAAATAAAAAGTGCAAGTAAGGTAGTGCAACTATTTTCACATACAAGTGCAAGTAATTTACCTTGTTAGCATTCGTGCACCTAATGACAAACTTTTTCACATAGATACACTTAATGATAACGTTTGGTGCATCTAATGATAACGTTTGGTGCACTTAATATTGATGCTCATTGTACATTATTTGTTGCACTTGTAATACATTTTATTTGCACTTGTAATACATTTTACTTGTACTTTTAACCCAATTTCATTGTACTTCGATGTTTAATTATTTACAAAAATGCCACCGCAGTTTTTTAAAATCCGTATTTCTGATCGGTTAGATATGGACACGTGGACGGCTGTGAATGGTTCTTAATTCTCTCCTAGGCAACCCATTTTCACACCCCCCCCCCCTCCCTCTCTCTCTCTCTCTCTCTCTCTCTCTCTCTCTCTCTCTCTCTCTCTCTCTCTCTATATATATATATATATATATATATATATATATATATATATATATATATATATATATATATATATATATATATATATATATATATATAGGGGTGCGCTCTGGTGAGAACGGACGCCCAGGAGAGAAATAAGAACCACTCACAACTGTCCACATGTCCAGATCAATGAATCATATGTAATTTTAAAAATACAATGCAGTGGTATTTTCGTAAACAATTGAACTTTGGTGCAAGTAAATGTATTACTTTCACTTGTAATACATTTTACTTGCACTTCGACGTTCAATTATTTACGAAAATATCACCGTATTTTTTTTTTAAATCAGTGTTTCTCATCCGTTATATCTGGACACGTGGACGGATGTCATGCGTTCTGAGTTATTTCCTAAGCGAGGAGTTCATACCTAAACGCGATCATATATATATATATATATATATATATATATATATATATATATATATATATATATATATATATATATATATATATATATGTATATATATATATGTTGGGGTTCCAGTGAGAACATGTGATTAGGTGAGAACATGAGAACACATTATGTGCATCCATCTAATATTTTTTAATGGTATAGATTAGATTAAGTGTGTGCGAACGCGCATTAAATGTGTGCAAACACACTGAATCGCGTTTGCACACATTTAATGCGCGTTCGCACACGCTTAATCTAATCTAGACCATTAAAAAATATTAGATGGATGCACACGATTTGTTCTCACGACCCAAGCAGGTGTTCTCATATGATCTTAAATCTATATATATATATATATATATATATATATATATATATATATATATATATATATGACTCCAAATCCATTTTGTTTTTAGAATGCAGTTCTATTTAAAATGAATCCGCAATACAATTTTACAAGAAAACTTGTACTCTTATTCCTATCTTTTCGATAATAATATGCATGGAATTTTATCTTGGATGCCTTACCTTCTTTTATTTTATCATTGGATAATATTAACATTTTCTTGCAATTAGGCACACTAAATTATATTATGCACCGCGGTGCATAATAGATTATGCACCGCGCGTCTTTTTTTTTTAAATGAAAATTAACAGTGTTTATTTCCGCCGTTTCGCACCCTTTTGCAAAAAGTAACTCTGTTATTCAGTGTCATTTTGTATACACTGCAGTTTCAGTTGAACACAACTACAGTTTCATTTCGATATAACTATAGTTTCATTCGATATTTATAGACTCAAATATGTGAAAATGTTATTTAATTTTATTTTATATACACTATAGTTTTATTAAAACACAACTACATGATCATTTTGATATAATTACAGCTTCATTGTACAATATACACTCAAATATGTGAAATGTTATTCAGTTTCAGTTTATATACACTGCAGTTTCATTTCACTATAACTACAGTATCATTTTGATATAACTGCAGTGTCGGTTTGGATATACTGTAATGTCAGTTGGTGTTTAATACACCAAACAAACGGACTCCGTTAACTCTAACGACGGACCGTTTCTTTACTTAAAGAAACGGCGCCGTATATGGACCGCGGTGCATAATCGATTATGCACCGCGGTCTATAATATAACAACTGCTATTTTATTAAATAAATTTCAGATAAATCTCGTTTTTTTCGTGGTTTCAAAATTTTAATGGGTAGGGATCTGGATCTATCCAAACCCACCACTTCCATGATTTTTTTTTCTTTTTACATTTTTTGAGGCCGTTGCATAGGGAATTAATGTTCGCTTGGTGGGAAATGCTTAGTGGAGTGATCCCAATTAGTCAAGTTTGGGGGCATGCTTAGTGGCTACGTTTCAGATGTCAACTAAAATATCCAAAAATGGAATCTGCACCGCAGATAACTCCGTCCCATTTTTGCTTGTCATCTTCAGTATTTGGAAAGCCAGAAATATCGGCTACAACACTACAAATTCCACTCCTTGTGGCTTTCACGGCTGCGTGCTCCACGGTCCAATACGACGTAGTTTTAAAATTAAAAAATAAACTTTTTTTGTTTCGCGCATGTATTACAATAATAAACTTTCTGATGTTAAAATAATATAATTTATGACTTTATATGTTAGAATAATGTTATTTATGTGTTAGAATAATGAAATTTATGAGGTAAGAAAATGTATTTTATGATTTAGAATAATATACTTTATGTGTTAGAATATAGTAATGAAATTTTTGGGGTAGGATAACGTATTTTAGGAGTTAGAATAATGTAGTTTATGTGTTTTTAGATCGTGATCTACACAGCTCTGTGTGGACCACGGTCCATGAAATAATGATTGACTCCTAGTGGAGTAGCCTATTGGCTTTTCTTATTTTCAGTCAATCCGTTATAGATTTGCTATCTAAGTTGATTTATCTCATTCTAAATTTTTATCCATCAAGATTGTCAGAAGTAGAAATTTACTTAGTGCATATTTCAAAGTAATAACTGCATATTTCCCTCATCACTCTAAAATATAAAATATCGGATACACCGGTGAAAGCTGTGAATCTCTAAAGAGTGTTTGACTATGTCAATAGTGACAATTATGTGTAAATATATAATTCTAAAGTTTGAGTTAATTTCAACGGAGGTTCTTTGTCTTTGGTAGCAATTCTAAATTTAGTTTAAGACTATCATTTTTGTCATTTAATATCCCGACTATCATATTTTGGACACTTTTGGTCGTTTCGATGAATTTTCCAGTGAAACTCTATTTTAAACAATGGTATTTTTGGATCTTCATTTTTTTTTTTCACAATGGGTTAATTCCAGCGGAGGTCCGTTAGATTGTCTTTGGTGACATTTCTACATATAATTCAGGCCGATCGTTTTTTGCCATTTAACATTCCAGTCTATCATATTTTATAAACTTTTGGTCTTTTGGATGACTTTTTTTTTCGATGAATCCTTATTCTAGAAAAGGGTATATTTCGATGACAAAGAAGATAAGCTTTCCTTTTTTTTTTTTTTTTTTTGGACTATACAACTATAGTATTCACAGAATCATTGACTAAAACAATAGTAGTCAGACTAAAGCGGACCGATGGCAACATCCTGAGCCTTTCAAATGCCTTAAAAATAGATTTCCCCCCACTCGGAGATCCTCACGTAGTCGATATCACGATTGACGAAGGACAATTTGGGGGTGAGTTGAAAGAGATGAAGACAAGAGCTGAGTGAAGGAGATGGTGCAATCCACGGCTAAAGAGACGAAAAAGAATGGTGCAAAAAAACTAGAAAAAAATTGAAGAAACAAAAATGCTCTTGCCAAAAATAGGGGTTCAATTGAAAAACTCATCAGAAAAAACCAAAAGTGCCCAAAATATGATAGTATGTTTTGTTAAATGACAAAAACGATTGTTTGAGGCTAAATCTAGAATTTTCACCAAAGACAATGGATCTCTATTGGAATTAATTAACAGATTAGAAAAATAATAAAACGATTGAAGAGACAAAAAAAAAAGGTCCTAAAATAGGGTATCACCCGAAAACTAATCCAAAGGTCTAAAAATTTACAAAATATGATAGTAGTGTTAAATAACAAAAATCCTAATCTGGAACTACATTTGAAATTGTCCCTAACGACAAAGGACTCCACTGGATTTAAGTCTTAATTTTTTTTAATTTTATTTTATTTTTGGTTATATGATGGTGGTCAACACGGTTATAGGGTGTAATTTCTTTTTGAAAGAATTAAAAATGTAAAACATTTCATCTATAAATACTGAACATAAGCTAATGATATTCCACACATCTTTCTAAAGCCTACTAAGCTAAGCCATTATTGCAAAAGCTCTAGCTAATTTCATTAAAATGGCGAAGGCTGCCGCTGCTTCTTCACTTACCCTTTTCCTCGCCCTTAACCTTCTGTTCTTCACGGTGGTTAGCTCCACCAATGTGCCGTGCCCTCCGCCGCCACCAAAACATCAGCCACCGTCCCCCTCATCTTCATCTCAGGCCGGCAAGTGCCCTAAAGATGCACTCAAACTGGGAGTGTGTGCTAACCTGTTGACTGACTTGCTCAACCTTGTGGTCGGAAGCCCGGCCACCACCCCCTGCTGCTCTCTCATTGGCGGACTTGTCGACCTCGAAGCCGCCGTCTGCCTCTGCACCGCCATTAAAGCCAACATCCTCGGAATCAACCTCGACATTCCCATCTCCCTCAGCTTGCTGCTCAATAACTGTGGCAAGAATGTCCCTAGTGGATACCAATGCTAATTAATAAGCCATCTTCAAGATATATCATTAATTAAACTTTATATTATGTTTTCTCTATAATAATCATATACGTGTTGTTAGTTTTCAGATTCCTAGCTCTCATGGCTTGGTTTTCTGGAGATATTACTATAGCAGTGTATTGTTACGTTGTTGCTTGCTACGACAGTATTAAGTTTATGTTACTCTCATTGATTTGACAAGTGACTTATCGATGAGATAAAAGAATTTTATTTGCAATAAAATAGTATTTTATGAATGTTTACTAATTACTACTTCATTGCTCGATCTCATTTTAATTATCTTTGAAATTGACACTTGTTGTACTATACGATAATGCCCGCAATCATATATTTGCATGCATGTCTAAACGAAAACGTAACCAATCCATAAAAGACTTACGACAATCTGAGAAATATTACGAGGTTGGCAAATGGATTTCAAGATAAAAACAAGGACACTATGTTAGTAAAATTAAAGTTATAGCATTACGTCGACATCTAGGGCCTCTTTACTAACTGGAAAATTTCTTAAGTTATGAAAGAACAGAAAACATGTTTATTAACACAGTTTTTCATTTTAAAATCAGAAAACAATTTCCCATTGTCTAGAAAATTGAAAAATTATTAAAAAAACTGTTTTCTAAATTAAAAAAATAGAATCATCTATCATCTATTTGGCTATATATGTCACTATAATCACATTCTCACCATTACTACTTACATAGTTATTCATTACTATAGTTACATTATTCATTATCATTTCTTGTACTTATCACCATCTTAGCTTCTATCTTTTCTACTTGCATTACTTTTTTTTTTTTTTTTGAAAATAATGTAAGTATGATTAATTAAACGAGAGGAATAAGGTGTAGAATACAATGAAGGATAGATAAAAACCTAGCTAAAGGGCCATGCTGGGGATTTGCCACACTTGCTAAGGTGTGGAGGTGCATATTCAATGACCGACGAACAAAATGGTAGGACACGTTATCAAAATGTTTCGTACTTGCATTACTTATTTAAACATAACTTATTTTACTTATGCTTAAATTTAGACATTATTCACATTACCAAAATTTAAAAATAAACTCTATGTTAAGTATTATATTTTGATTGAACTCAATTAATTATTCGTTTAGATATTTTTAGTTATGTTAAGTCGTAATACAAGTTTGGTCCGGATATTGGATATTGAAATTTGACATATATTACTATATTAGAATTCAAAGTAAAAATTATATGTTTATATAAATGTCATTCAAATGAAAATATCAAAAATATTTTAAATATTAGCTCAAAAAAATATTAATATTATCTCAACTAAATTTTTGGTGAACTTAATATGTTATTAATTTGGATATATTTTTAGTTAAGTTATATACCGAGATAAATTTGATTCGGATATCAAATGTAAAAAGCTTACATATATTGAACTTGTTAAAATTATATTTATTTTATTTAAATCAAATATATTTTAAAATATTTTAAATATAAGGTCTAAAATCACTCAAAATCAAACTTGTTAATTTTATAGCTTTAATCTAAAAAAAATTAAAAAAAAATAAGTATTAATAAAACTGAAAAATTAAAAAAGAGAACACAGAACATAGTTTCCGTTTGTAAACCGCCCCTACTATTTTCTTGCCAATATTGTCATTTTAGTTTGTCACTTTAATTTACTGTAACTAATGTGTTCATGAATTCATTAGTTTCAGAATTTGCGGAAAATTGTGAGGTTGGTCCACTGCCATCCTCGCTAGGGTTGAAACCGAATTTCTCTTTTGTCATTATTGGGTTGATGGAAAGATTTAACAATCGTTATACCGTGTACCAAGGTCCACAGTTTAATATGGACCTCTCAAACGACATAATTTTGCATTTTAATATAAGAGTTTTTACCCATTTTGATCCCTTGACTATGACTCATTCTCAATTTTGCATTCCGACTTTTAATTGCACCCAATGTGGTCCATTGACGTTTGAAAATTATCCCAATTTAGTCCTCCGTTACATTTTCCATCATTTAGGCGTTAAATTAGAGCGTATTTTGGTCCTTTCATTGCCTGCGCACCTTTACCATTTGCCTGCTCCTTACATCTTCCTTTCTTCTTCACATAGAACGTCTGAGCATAAAAAAAAAAAAAAAACAAGAACCCTAGATTACTTTGATTTCTTCTTCCTCTCTTGCATACGATGTCAACACAGTGGAGGCAAAGTACAAAGGTTTCTTGTTCATCGTCATCATCTTCGCCAAGACAGAGGTACCACTACAGAGATGCAATCCCTACGCGCATATGCAATTGTGGCAGTGAATGGAGCATTCAAACCTCTTGGAGTAGCGAAAATCCCGGGCGGAGGTTTTGGGTTTGTGTAAGGAGCATTTCAAGTTCAATTTTTTGTTACAAATTTCTCAATTATTACTTGTTGTGAGAATTTTTGAATTTGTTGATAGGATGGTGTCGGATGTAGATTCAAGGAATGGTTCGGTCCTCCCATGTGTTCACGTGCGAAGGAGATTATTCCCGGCTTATTAAGAAGCATGAATAGAAAATATGAGGAGATTGAGAAGTTAAAAGCAATGGCAGTGTCCTCTGTTGGTGGTGGAAGGAATTGTAATTGTGGCAAAAAAGGAGGCTTTAGGTTTAGGATTAAGTCGTTTGTAGTAATTGTTGTAGCATTTAGTATGTTTTACTTGTACTACAAATCTGTTGAAATTGGGAGTAATAGTTGTAGACTCCCTTTAGCATGATGTGTACTTTAATTTGCTTGTTTTGGCACTTCTTTATGAATGTAAGTTTATGCAGAATGCATATTAAGTATGTTATTTAAGAATGCAACTAGAATTGTACGTGTTTAGTATTTAGAATGCAAATGAAACTGCAATTGGAATGGTATGTATAACTAGAATGCAAATGAAACTGGAATTGTATAGCATATGAAACTGCAACTTAGCAAATGAATCTATATGAAAGGTAATTTAAGAATGAAACTGGAACTGCAAATGAAACTGGTTATTTAAGAATGAAATTGGAACTGTATAGAAAAATGCAAACTGGAACTTAGAAAAATGATAAACTGCATTTATGGTGGAGTATTCAAAACACAAAAGTTTTACAATGCTAAAGGGAGTATTATCCACAATCAGTTTGCATTATCCAAAACAACTACAATTACAACCACCAAAATACAATGCTAAAGGGAGTATTACCCACAATCAGTTTCCATTATCCAAAACAACTACAATTAGAACCACCGAAATACATTTAACACCAACACAAGTACAACCAATTTTGCACAGAATCTGAAGGCTTTAATCAATCTCAATTGATTTGGAGGTTGTGTTCTTGAATTTCATAGTCAGAAGACCTTGTTTTATACTTTCTCCGTGGAGGCTGAGCAACATTTTTATTTTTCTTTGTTAGACCAAGTGTCTTTTGCCTTCTGAGAGGGGCAGGTTGAGGTGCAGTAATAACTTGCTCTTGAAGGCCATGACCATTTTCCAATGTAGGTAATGGCATCTCTTCATGTGCATCAACCTCAACCTCTACATGGTAATCATGTTGAACTACTTCTTAACTTGCATTTTGAATAGGAATCTGTATGAAAGGTAATCATGTTAGGTAATCAATGCAATCTGTATGAAAGGTATGTTACTAAGTTAAAACTTACATCAATCATATCTGCTGGTGTTCCCATTTCCTCTAAACCCCTTTGATTTGTTATGCTGCTTTGTGGCTGGTTTCTTTGTGGCTGAGGGTTTCTCTACAAACATAAAACAGTATAAGTAAAACAAGAATGTCAATGTAATACATGGAAAAAAGTATAAGTAAAACAAGAATGTAATGTAATACTTACAGGTTTCAGTGGGCATCTCCTACTATTATGGCCTCTTTGTTTACAGAATGTGCAATGTAATACCACATGGCTTCTAGACATATGGATGCCATCCTTTGTGATTTTGTTTTTTTCCTTGGCTTCATCAGCTTCTCTCAACCTCAATTTCCTTGGCCTCCCAGGTTTTGCTTTGTATTCAGGTGGCAAGGGTGCTTCTATATGAGAATGAGGCCACTCATTTGGTCCAGCCATTGGATTAATGCCACATCCATACACCTTCAAGTATTTTCAACAGTGTAGCAGTTATGTACATAGTCCAGCACATTGTGTCTCTTCATCCAGATTGCACAAATGCCATGTCTACAAGGGAGTCCAGTCAAATCCCATTTTCTGCATGAACATGTTCTTCTGGCCAAATCTACAGTGTGTTGCTCCCCTGTATGCATTCTTTTCACTTCAAATAGATTCAAGTCACACTGTAAGGGTATATACCCTCCTGCATATTTCTCTTCTGCTGCAATCTTTTTAACAATGTTAGGACAAATCACTGAAGTCCACCCAGATGCCTCTTCTTTATTTTTAAATAGTTTTGTCATCAGTATAGTCCTAAGCATCTCAAGGCAGCTTATCAATGGCATTTCCCTAGCCTTAACTATCATTGCATTGAAGCACTCACTTAAATTGTTTACCAACATATCACTGAGTGCAGAACTACTAAAGTGTGACCTAGACCATTCAGATGGATGTTTGTCTCCCAACCAATCTAAAGCATCATTGTCAAGGTCTTTGATATTCCTCATTGAGTCCTTAAAAGAGTTTACTGTGGTGGCTCTTGCTGCTGACCATAGTGTATTCTTAAGTGCATTACCATGAAAACCAGCAACCTTCATGTTAGCATATAAATGCCTTACACAGAACCTATGCACCACATTTCCTAGTACTTTACTAAAAGCAGGCAGCAGACCCTTCTTCTTATCTGAAATGAAGGTGTATTCATATTCAGATGCCTCATCAATACCCAAATCATACTTAAGTAGTGCTAAGAACCAAGACCATGATTTCTTGTTTTCACCCTCAACTATTGCATAAGCAAGTGGGAAGATCCCATCATTGGGATCCATGGCAGTTGCAGTCAACAAATATCCACCATACTTTGATATCAAATGGCAGCCATCAACCCCTATAAGCTTTCTGCAATGTAGGAAACCCTTCCTACAAGCCTCCCAACATATATACCATCTTAGAAATCTTGTTTTTCCTCCTGCTTCTACAGTCTCACTCATTTTCACAATAGAACGAGCTCTTGGATTTGATCTTTCAATCTCCAAGTAGTAACTCCAAAACTTTTTGAAATAATCTTCAAGCTCACCATTAATAACACCTCTAGCCATTGTCATTGCCTTATAAGCAACCTTAGAGGTGATATGGAAGTGGTC